CACTCCATTTGTGATCTCCCATTTATTTTCCTATGTTCCTCATGCAAAACTTTGCACACTTACCTTCAACCCGTTTGTTATCTGACGCCTATGCAGAGTTGACATTACTTGCATAATCTTCCAGACGTGTGTGAAATATAATGTAATAGTAATAATCCCCACGATGAATTCGACACTCACGATCTTCCTCGCAGAAGTTCCGAGTGTTCTGTTTAGTGTTACTTATCCTAGAGTATGGTACTATTACTTGTAGGCTTCGCTTCGTCGACGTGGGCAACCGCCTAGTATGCAGTGCCCTAAAGTCTTAGACAACCATCTTTCCCATCTGTCTAGTTCTTCTTCTCAACCCCGAATAATCCTAGATGCCTCCTGTTTACGCCACCCATCGAATATCACTCAGCGTTTCACCATCAAGGCCAAACAATCAGAAGCTATAGGATTTTTAAAGCCAAAATCCCCTTTTCATTTAGCCGAGTTCAATGTCCGCACGCTCTATCAGATCGGTCAACAAGCTGCCTTAGCTAGAACCCTTGAAACTTTCAATTTAGATATATGTTGTGTCTCTGAAATACGCGTACAAGACCCTACTTCAATCATTTCTCTGCGTTCTCCTAACCCAACCTCGACCTCACGCTTCACCCTCCGTGTGTCAGGCGATTCGGCATCCGAAGCTCGCGGTGTTGCTGGTGTCGGGATTGCGCTGAGTGCCAAGGCTGAGCACTCGCTTCTTGACTGGATTCCAGTCAGTAGCCGACTATGCACTGTACGTCTCAACGGCTCAGCACGGGCCGACAACTACAGAAAGAAGCGTCGGTGCTTATTCGTCGTATCGGTGTATGAACCGACCGATGAAAGATGAATTCTATAAAGATCTCTCCCAACTACTCCAAAGTGCTGGGTCAACCGATATCGTGATAGTCGCTGGAGATCTCAATGCTCAAGTGGGATCCCTGGACGAATCAGAAAAACTTCTTGGCGGACCGTATACAATCCCAGCCAACCAGACGGACAACGGAGATCGCCTACTTCAACTATGTGCCGACCACATTATTCCTGTCAAGCACGAACTTCTCGCACAAGAAACGACACTGCCTTACATGGAAACCACCAATCTCTTCACTGCGCTGGACCCAGATCGACTACATCGCCATCAGTTACCGCTGGAGAGGGTCGATTCAAGACTGCCGTTCTTACTGGTCGACACCTGTGGATACGGATCACGCTTTGCTACGAGCGGAATTCTCCTTACGCCTCGCAAACAACCGCAAGAAAGCCACCAATAACGGATACCCGAAATACAATGTCAGCGATTGCGGCAAATCAGCCTTCGAAGCGGAACTCTCCGATCGTCTATCAGCTCAATCACCAGCCGAAGGACTCAATGAGCACTGGACGGTAATCAAGGAAGCGATGCAAATATCGATAAAAACAACGTCGGACCCTGCCTCAAGCTCAAAACACAAACGATGGATATCGCCGACCTCGGCTGCCCTGCTGGACGTTCACAGAACCCTCCCTCAGGATGCCAAATATGACAGCGCGTGAATTCCCTCAAACGCCACCTCATCAATAGTGAGGAATGACCGCGAGAAGTGGTGGATAGGAAAGTGTAAAGAGATGGAGAAGGTTGCGGCTATTGGTAATAGTCGCAACCTTTTCAGTTTAATAAGGAATGCGGGCCCTAGGAAAATAGGCATGAAGTAATTAGGGAATCCGATGTCGCACTGATTCACGACCAGCAGCGTCATCTTGACCGTTTGGCTGAACATTTCAAGGTTCAGTTCAACTGGCCCCCATCAACATCTGAGCTATCGCCGTCCAACCGGACTGAGCAAATACTCCCAGTTGATGCTAGTCCTCCATCTCAAATGAAAGTTTCCCGGGAAATAAGTTATCTAAAAAGGCATAAAGCCCCCGACCCAGACGGGCTATCCCCATCGGCTTTTAAGGATGTAGGCTCAGCCTTACTCTCAGAGTTAACAAAACTCGTGGGCTCAGTGTGGGAGAGAGAACAGGTTCTAACTGAATGGTGTGAATCGGTCATCATACCGATTTACAAGAAAGGTGACAGATCCTCTTGTGAACGGAATTAGTTTAATCAACGTCGTCTCTAAACTTCTCGCCGGCATCATACTCCGTCGATTGTTTGTTGCACGTGAAGGGTGCACGCATGAGAACCAGACCGGCTTTAGACCTGATCGAGGTTGTATTGACCAGACCTTCACTCGTCGCCAAACTCTGGAGCACCGACATTTCTTTCGTAGACCCACCATCTCTCTTTCTCGATTTGAAAGCAGCATTCGACTCAGTCGATCGCTCAAAACTCTGGCGCTGCCTTTTCCCGAAAGGTGTGCCCGAGAAGTTTATTTCAATATTACAGTCCCTTTATACTAACAGCCGAAGTCGACTCCGAGCTTATGGCCCGTTTTCACCCGAGGTTACCACGGAAAGTGGTGTTCGACAGGGTTGCCCTATCTCTAGTTTTCTATTTAATTTTGTTGTGGATCTGATTACGGAAACGGTCCTATCCTCGTTCAAGGATAGCGGTATCGATTTACTCCCAGGTGGCAGACAGTCTGATCTAGAATATGCAGACGACATTGTGCTACTAAGTGAACGTCTAGGTAAGTTACAATCCTTTCTGGACAGTTTGAGTGCTATTGTAACCAGGGTCGGTATGTGTTTTGCACCTTCAAGATGCAAAATGTTACTACAAGACTGGGTCGGTCCAGCACTGAGCCTCACTCTAACTGGAGAAGTAATAGAGCAATTAGAC